TATGTATGTATGTATGTATACAGAAAACACATACGCACATACAAAAATGAACGCCAACATACACAAACACAAAATGTCTGTCTGCTGGAGACGCGAAATGCGCTTTGCGACGGCAATGGGCCCTGGAGGTCTTCGGCAAACTGAAGGCCGAGTTGCCCAGAACTGGGGGCATGCTGATGCTGGGCAGAGAATGGTTTTTTTGGTGGACAGGACCCTAAACCCTAAACCCTAAACTGTTGATTTCCAGCCCCAAACTGACCAAAGGAAGCGATCTAGCACGGTATGGCACCTGCTCAACGAGCAACTTGGTGACTGTCGGGGTTTAGGTTGCGCAGCTGACGATACTCGTTCGCATGGTTATTGCCAAGCTTGTCTACATATCTGTTTGTGACGGGCTTGTTGAGATTCTGCAGTGGCAGCTTGTCCGATGACGCTCGCATGAAGGGACTCTGACAAGCGAGGAAGTATCTTGAGCCGCGCTCGAAATAGTTCCAGATTCCATGCTGTTTGGTCCGCTCGAGGCGGAAACAGATGCAAGATTTGGAGGCTTCAGGCTTGGTGTGGTGTGAGCTTTCCGATGACGCAGACGCAAATCAGCCGGTTAGCCGAACTCCCTAACACGTCTCCTACAGCAGCATGGATTACAGTCCGAGGTTGCTACAATCCTTGAGCGACCCCAAGGTGGTCCAAAAGAAGTTGGAGTACATCGCTCTGCCCCACGGTCTTGTTGGTTTGAAGGCTGAGGGGGTTTGAATCGGACGAGTGACTGTGAGTTAGGTGGGGTCTAGAGTCTTAGAGGTCAGGGCAGATGTCGGAGCATGTGGCGTGTTGGTAGAGTTGCATGCGTACATGTTTCTGCATCCGTTTTCCAAGTATCTGTCTTGGCACATCTAGATGTAGGTGAGTCGGCGGAGGGTTCGTGAATGGGTTGCGGACCCTTGCCGGTTTCTGTCTCGAAAACTTCGGCTTGAAGTTCTCGTCTATGCTGCTGCATGGGGTTCGGAATAGCGGCTTGCGACAGCACATGATGCGATTATATGTGATCGAAATCTAAATCCTAAGCCCTAAACCCTGAACCGATCATCATCGTTGGCGGACCCCAGGGCTTCAACAGCTGGCTTCAAGGCTTGCAGGCTGTTCTTCCTGTTGCCAAATCTAAGCATCGTCCTAGTGCCGCTAGGCAGAAGAGATCCAGAAGCTCCAATTATCGAACCGCATTTGTGCAAGGCCTTCTTAGCTCCTCTGGGACTCAGAAGATGGCTTTCTAGGAAGAGCTACAAAAAAGTTATCAGATGAGGCGCCATATGAATGCAGACATCACTACAGCGGATGTGGAGGTTCGCTCGACACGCGGCGACTCAAGTCTTCGGCTCTAGGGCTCTTGCGTTTGGGGTCCATGTTGCTTTCGGGATAGGGCTTAGGATAGGTTTGAATCGCCGGTGTAAAGCAGCATTTTGCTTAGAGCTTAGGGTTTTGGGGATTCCGGGTTTAGGGTTCGGTGGCCCAGCGTGTAACGCTTAAGGTCAAAGTAGGTTCAGGTGTTTGGTGAGCATCGCTGATCTGCTTCCCTTCATCACCTTGGATTTCCTTAGCAGCGGGTCGTGATGTTTCGCGCGATTCTGCCTAAGCCTGCCCCAGCCTCAGAAGCCTTCTTTCAAGCGAGAAGCGTTTCGGGCCTGAAGCCCTGGCAGGTGTTCAAAGGCATTCTACTGGAAGTGTGTGCGTCGAAGTTGGGAGGGCTGATGACTCCTGAGTTTCAGCCGCTGGGCTTCTTTGGCAGCCGGGTTTGGCTTCAGGATGCGCTGGTAAGCGAGGACCGAAACCTGGTCTCGGCATCCAAATCCCTTCAATTAGAGCTTTGACAAGCAGGAAGCTCGGAAGATCTAAGTCGGTGAACCCCTCCTGCGGGTTCGCATCCCGATGTGAAGGTTCGGGCTTGGCCAGATCATCGTGGCGGTGGGTATGTCGTTAGCGAAGACGCACGAGTTCCTGGGCAGATCGAAGCCATGATGAAGCCACTAAGTCTTGCTGACGTGACGTGGTCCTTGGATTTAGCCCCCAGATCTCTGGCCGAAGACGGCCTCGAGGCACTATGCGCAGCGGCTGAAGCTTCTGACAGAGTGCTGGAAGGAGGCCAGGCCTGCCGGCACATCCCCAGAGTCACTGTCCCAAATCTGGCATTTCTCAGACTGGCAGCCGAGATCCTGGACGTTTGTCAGACAGAGATGGTGTAGTAGTGCTTCCGCGGAGCTGCGACAATGCCGACTGGAGATCACGATTCTTTGTCTCTGCTGGAGTAGCACGGTCATGTTGCGGCGGATTTGAATGTTGAGCTACTTGTATATGCAGCCCGGCGACTGCGAATCCCTCTGTGCGGCAGCTGTATTTCTCGATCTAGAGATTCCAGTACTGTCGAAAACAGGTTAACGTCACTGAGGACGATGAGGCCTGATACAGGGTTGTGGCTTGTGCTTCAGCGCGTACTAGCGGCTACGCTGTTGCAATGATCGTCCGAATGAACGCTGAACAACACAGCTGGAATGGATCTTTCGGTCCACGGGCAGACATGTAACGGGATGCAAGTCGCAGACGAGTCTACGGCACAGGAAAGCCACAGGTTGTGTCCGGGCATGAAGTGGCTTCGGTTCGTCCACTCATCTCTGTTTCGGTTTGTTCCCCCCGCCATTTAATCCCCTAAGTGCACCACCCACATCAGTCTTTCAGTCCAGCATAGTCCAGCATTCAATACGAGAACATAAGCAAGAAGCCTTATGCATCCAGCGCCAGGCCAACGAGAACGCAGAGGAGTATTTGCAGACACTCTGTAGACAGGTGTTGTTGGCCTTGGCATTAACTTCTGGATCGGGTGCATGCAATGGTTAGGTCAGCATGTCAGCTTGCCGATAGACTGTAGTCCGTCACGGGTACTCAGCGCTGAAGTGTTTCTGCCTATGCCTGGGGGCGGAGGTAGACAACAAGTGTGCAGTCGCTTTCGTGAGCCAAAGATCCCTCGGCTGTTGCGAGGAGCAGCACGAGCACGCCCAAGGCCACGCGGAAGGCCATGAGGACCGTCGGGGAACTTGCACGAACCCCCTGCTCCCGAAATCATCCCTGCCCTTTGCAACCTATTCTGAATTAGGGGGGAGGGCTTCGAGGCTCCAAATACCCTTAGAGTAAGAGCAAGAGCGAAAGCAAGAGCAAGAGCAGCAGCAAGAGCAAAGCGAAAACAACAGCGGGAGTAAGAGCAAGAGCAGGAGAAAAAGCGGGAGCAACAGCAAGAGAAGGAGCAGGCAAACGAGACGCAGCAGAAGCAGGAGCAAGAGCCAGCGCGGGAGCAAGAGCCGAGCAGGAGCAAGAGCACAACCCCTCAACAGTGGCAGTAGAGATAAACATACCCCCTTAATAATGAAACCAATTTCCGAATTGTTATTGGAGGGGGCTCCCAGGGGGAAACGATTAGGCTAGAACGACAAGGAGTAGGACAGAGAAAGTATTTATGAGGAGAGAAAGAGAGGGGGAGAAAGAGAAAGAGTATTCCTTGGAGAAGTGGAAGGGTCCCTCTTCGACTGGTGAATACGTGGAACTTTAAGATCTGTTAATCTTGGCTATGAGTCTACCACTGCATTACTATGCCGAACCTTTTCATTTTTTCCATATCAAGGTATGCAAATGCTCTGCCATCATCAGCCAGACTATCCAGCGCCCGAACAGGGCCATTGCAAAAACACTTCTCACCTCCAACACTCACACCCAAGTCCACCAGGGCACCCCAAACTGCAAACCCACACCAATCCCAAAGTTTCGTTCGCGAACCGGGCTGACCCCAAATCGCTATGAGAAGTCCGTATGCTGCACAGGACGCGCAGCAAGACCAATCAGATGCTGCGTTAAACAACATGGAGAAGGGCGAGAATGTGCCTCTTCTTGTCTGTGGCAAGTTTCAAAGCAGACGGCGGGGTGGTCATGCCTTTGGCAGAAAGTGCGTTCCAGATGCGTGGGACACGACATGAAGTCCAGATCAAGGAGATGGTACTGTAGCCAACACATAGTACTCAGAGGTGCAGCTTGAGCTGTAACCCCTAAGAGCATCGAGCTTGTTGTCCAGAGAGTGCGCAGAGGATGCCCATGGGCAGTGGAGAAAGGATGACAACATGAACATTCCAAAGACGTTTGCAGCCATGGCACGTCCCTCGGAGATTCGGAGAGCAGGGACTGGGAAGACTCTGAAGTGGTAGGGGTTCGGCACGGAGGGCTTCGGGCTTTCAGCTTTGTAAGCTCGGGGGCTTGGGCTTTGATTTTTCCGTCTCTTTGTGCAGGCCTCGGGTGGCCCAACATCCTCTTCACGAAGCGGCAACGACGAAGCCCTAAGCCCGCGCCCGCCGCAACAGCAGAACAACACCCCCCATAGTGGCAACAGCAACAAGACAAAAAGGGAGCAGCCAGAACAGCAACAGCAAACAACAACAACAACAACAAAATAGCAGTCGGAACGACAGAGCGCCTCGCTTACTCTTCCATTCATGAACCTGTCTCTATCCTCAATCAGGGCCAATTTGGCCGCATCTGAGGTTTCAACGCGGCCGTCATGGGTACGGGCGACCGACTCTTGCCTACATACAGCGGATCTTCCCTATACTCTAAGGTGTTTGTGCCGTTCAGATGCCGCTCGACGTTTCCATACTATCATCACTCTACCAGTATTTATAACTCCATGATAAGAAGGAGCCCTGAAGGAACAGTGTAACTACTGTAGTTTATTCCCCCAAGTAGCAAGGCATGTGGTTTGCCGACCTCCTCTACTCCATGGAGTCGCTGGTACCCCACATTGGCAACATCGACCGAGTCCAGGATCTTAGGATCATGTTTCTGCGCTATCAGAGTGGGGCTGTGGTGGGTTCGGGGGCGGTGAAAACCGCATTTCTCGGGATCTGTCAGAGGCTGTGGGGTTCACAGTACCGTGCTGCCCGTCTAGTCGCGAGCAGCCGCCTGCTCTCGCAGGAAGAATGCGACGTTCTCACTCTGACGCTGGCAAAATACGAGAAGGTGGGACCTCGAAGACTGCTTAGGTCATGCGCTTGGTGGATACTGCAGAGGCTTAGACATCGGAGGCATTCTTTCGAAGGTTTTGTACAACGACATGTAGTTCATATTAGTTCAAAATCAGAAGCATACCACTGCAGTCCGCTTAGCCACCGCCGGGCAGGTTAACCTGAAGGAGTTCCGCTCTGTAATGTTCGCCAGCCTGAGGCAGGCTCGGTGGGTGTTTTAAGGCAGAGCCTTCGAACGGTCTCAGAGCTTGTACCCTCGGCCAAGGTACTATCATTATGCTGCAATATCCTGCAAATGAACTATAATGTGCTCTAATCTGCTGTAGTGCATGCGGTAATTCTGCTTAATATAGTGTAGTATACACCATCTTGTGTTGTATGCCATGCTATCATGAGCATCTGCTGTTATGTACTATACTATCCATCCGCCTGAAGGTCGCTTCTGCCTTCCAGCTGGTGCCTGGAGCATGAGAACGCCTGGTCTTGGTTTTGGAGCATTGTGGAGAAGCAGGCAGAAAGCATAGTGTGTCTCATGGTGGGATAGCAAGATGATCTGGTGGCCACGACAACTGGCAAGCCCCACCACTCAAACGAACAGCAGCTGAAGCCTTTGCCCTGGCCTGGAATATTTTGAAGCTATGCATTCCCAGCTGTTGTTGTGCGAGGTCGAGGAGAAAAGGGCGATCGCATCCCACCACAATCAGTGTTTGAATCTTGCTTGGGTTAGTTTAGAAAAAAAACATGATGAGCGGGTCTTGATTGCTGCTTTCGAGGAGTTGAAAGCTTGACTGGAAGCTGAGATTCGGGTCTGCGGGGATCTTGATGGCATCGTTAATGCGGATGTGATGAAGCTGAAGTCGCCCGCCGATCTCAGGAAGTCGTTTCTTGCACGCATGGACGAGGCGGGGGGAACCCTAAGCTTGAAAGCTGAGCCCGAGTGGCTTCCCGTCTGCGAAGCTTTTGCACAGATCGTCAAAGTGGCAGAAATCTCTGAAAGTCAAAGGCCCGAAAGTCCAGTCTGAGACATGCCGAGCAGGTCCATGCCATACAAAGCCCGAAGCTGAGGGTAAAGACATGGAAACAAACTCATAGCAGTTCTCGATGTGATGAATGTCTGAACCACCTGTCCATTCGGTGCCACTGACTTCGGTGGATTTCGGATTTGCTGCAGAGGCTTCTTTCTGTGAGCCGTGAGATTTGAGGTTGAGTTAGCCGGATGTGAGCCAAGTTTGGTCTTTGTTAACAAGCAGACATGCTTCACCGGAGGAAGCTACAAACACGTTCAAGCTCAAGGTCTTCGACACGTTTTTCGCAAATTGCGAGGCTCACGTCAGGGGACGTCGTGTTAGGGGCAAGCTCAGCAGGACATGCACTAGGACGAGCAGCACTTTGACTCGCAGCTCTGCGTCACATCCTTCCAGTAGTTCAGCATTGCCTCGAAACTGTATGCTACCGCGGCCTGGTATATCATAGCATGTTGTAGCTTACTCTGGCATACTATCGTCTAGTATAGTCTGCTATAGTATATACGGGAGTGTGAGTATATCATCGTCCACTGCAGTAGTGCATTAAAGAAAATCAAAGCACATGATTAACCTATCATTTCTATTACTATTACTACTACTACTATTCTTATTATTGTTGTTATTAATAATATTAGTATTATTATTATTATTAGTATTATTACTTTCAGCATCATTATTGGTTTTAGCATCATGTTGGGATTCTCTGGCAGCCCGAGGAGTCGCAGCTGTACCTGCGCGCGGCCAACAAGCGCTTGATGTACATCATGGGACGGTTCCTCTTGCGATACTTCGTTGGGGTTTAGGGTTTTTATCATTCAGCGTTTAGGGTTAACGGTAACAGGCTTTAGGATTAATCGCGTTGGAAGGCATCTTTCGTATACTTTGCAATTGAAGCGTGTTCGGATAATGTGGGGGGCCACGAAGGCCTTGCTTTCTGTCGCAGATTTCTCCGGATAGTTCATTCTATGTGTTGTGTCGATGCAAATCATGACGAATCCTCCCAATCTCAATTCTCTTGAATCCCGAATGCGGAGTCAGGATTCTGACGATCATGGGAGACATCTACAGCAAGACGCACCAGGCAAGGGTGACTGGTTCCAGTCATGTACATTGCCGATGGAGACTTGACTGGCCGGCCCAGACTTGAGATTTTCTCCTGGTGCAGATGCGCTTAGACTAGGCTTGCTCTTTTGCTTGCTCGGGCGCGGATGGGGTCAGACTGAGTGCACGTCGTACAAGGCTCTACACTACTTTCCATTCCTCACAGGGCTTGGCTTGATGCTTGACCGGAAGTGGAGCTAGCTTGCGTGGCTGGTTGGTTGCTGAATGCTGCTGTCATTGACAGCCTGTCAGTGGGACATGAGGGCCTTGACCAGAATAGCTGGAACTCTCGTGAGGCGGTCATCGCGTTGTCTGGATTGGGTCTACTTCACGCGGGTCATGGCGTCCCTGAGGAGCCTCTCCTTGCCGCAGCTTGAAACCCCTACGCCCCTGCGAACAGCTTTGGGCAAGCGATTGAACTCAGAGTTTGCTGGAGTTGAGGAGGGTATCGTACATCCCTAGTATGACGGTCGGCCGCGTTTGGAGACTTACCCAGAGGAAAGCACAGTCAGTCTTCAAGCGATGCATCTAAACGAACGGTCAGTGTAATGTGGAGTTCAACAACGGACCTTTCCAAGCTAATGACTCAGTTGTGGTAGTGCTGAAGAGCTTATGTCAATGTGTTTTAGGGTTCGTGAGCAACCTTAACCCCGCTACTTGGGCCTAACATTGAAAGGTCGCGAGCCCTTCCTGGCGAAGCTAAGAGAGAGATTGCCTCCTGCTGCCATTTGGTGCAAGCTTTTCCGAAGGACTTGGTGCGGCCTTTTGTCGCGGCGTTTATGCCATTCGGCTTGCTTGAGTTGCTCTAGCACACACTGGTGCAATATTGTGAAGCCAGCCAAAGGCTAACCACAGCCAACAGCAAACAGTTGCAGCAACAATTCAATTCGGTTTCTTGGGTACCTCTTTATTGATATTATATAGGCTAAATAGGGAATCGACGGCCACACTACTCCCCAAGCTTTACGAAACAGAAGTGCTATGCTATGATGTGTTAAAGGTAGCAGACGGTAATGGACTATAGCTATAGTAGACCATAATGGGTTCTCAAAGACGGTAATTGACGATAACATACGATAGCATGGTGGAATATACCCTATTCTGCAATCTATTGCAGTCTACGATACTGTACTACCAGATTCAACCCTGAACACTAAACCCTACGCAGAAGTTGCGGTTGTCTGCACCGAGGCTTTGCATGAAGGAGGCATGCCCGGACGAGACTCTCTACGATGGGCTTTGGTGGACCTTGGACTTGATCGGCAGGACATACTGCCATAGTATACCATAACATTCTGTTTTGTACCACGATCTATCTATATGTCTCTCTCTCTATATATATATATGTAGTATGCTATGACATTCTGTTGTATACGATTCTATAGTATACTATAGCATTCCGTTATATACCATAAGGTAGGATACGATAACATTCTATGATATACCGTAATACTACAATCGACTATAATGGACTCCGGTAAACTACAATGTAGTACAACAGACTGTCATAGACTGTGGTAGACTAGAACAGCTTGCGATGCTAAACTGTGGCTTCGGAACGCAAGCAGTAGTATGCCTCCCGAGCAGGATTTTCATCCGGACGCTGGCGGAGGGGTCTACGCCGGTGATCATTGCGATCAACAAGAATACCTCTAAGGACGGAAACGTTGCTGCTGGATGTTTCGTTCATCAGTATCAGCACGACGTCGACCGCCGCGACGACGTCTTCCAGTATGTGCCTAATTTCGCACCTCTCTCGCCCTGAGACACCCGGACCCACCGGGAACCGGGAGCACCCGGACTCGGAACACTCGGGACCCCGTTTTGGACTGCCGGACGGTCCAAAACGCTCAAATCAGAGCCCTTCCCGGAACCCCGGAACCGGGAACCGAGCCCCAAAACCGGGCCGGGCCACTTTTAGTGCAGGAAAAAACGAGGTCTTTGGTCGTCCCCCGGTAGGTGAGAGCAGTCAGTTCCCCACTTGTTCTGCTCCCTTGAAGCAAGAGTGCAACAGAGTCCTCAGACCATGTATTACTAGATGCAGGCTAGCATCTTATCTGTACCACGGGAGACCTGAGTGCACTCATCAGCGTGTCACCTGCATGCGGACATCTGGAGAGCTCACAGGAACTGAAGGCAGCCGTGGCAAATGCTCCTCGCGGGGAGCGCGAAGTGATCTTGCTCAAGGTTCAGGCTCCTATGATGCAAGCATCCTTTAGCCCTTTACTTCAGCACATGGCTACGATGCTGAATGTTGCGATAAGTTGCCACAAGTCTTGTCAATCCGATGCGAGTCACGCCCCGGCTAATCACTGCCCAGCGCCGGTGTCCCTGTCAATTGCCCTTGTGTGACCCGAGGTCGGCAACGAGTCTATGTCGCCACTGATTTGGGCAATTGAGAAGGTGGGTTTCCCAAATTGCGGTCACTTGCTGACCACACCGAGCCCATTCACCTCAGCCTGAAATCCGCTTGTTGGACGCTGTCAGGGCGCTTTGGAGTCTGCTGGGGCCATCCTCAAGGACAGTCGCGGTCTTTGGCAGCAGGTAAACTCAGCCTTTCTTTCGGGTGCATTTTGACAGCCGGATGGGCCACGCCAGCATGCTGCCACTGCCAAGAAAGCGGCTCTGCAATTTGTTTCCAGTTGGGTGCAAAGAACCTCCGAGTCGTATTCGGATCAGGACTTGCTCACCATGCGTGCAGACCGCGGACGCTACTACTATGGCATGGCCACTTGGGCTGAAGAGTTGGAAGCGGTGCAGAAGCAACAGGTTCCTTGCTTGTCGCCGAAGTTTGCTCAGACGTTCTCCGGGGAGCATTTGGCACACTAGCAGGAGGGAGCACCGTTCCAGATCCTTCCAGCATGCCTGAAACATGTGTTGCCATCGACACCCTTTTTGAGGAGGCGATTTGGGTCCGCCATCCGGACTCTTGGAGCTGCGATGTATGGATTGGCAGCGGCAGAACTTGGGATAAGAACCGACATCAAGTTGCCATTGGGTGTGTTGTTCATCTCGTGTAGCTTTCCAGAGCGATTCTGCAGATGCTACATATTCAGGAGTTGAGGATTCTCTGAGTGCTTTTGACTGATCATCTGGAACGATCAGCTTGGCGAGTGTTCGAGGAAGTGAGGGGTGTTCTGCAGTCCAGCCCAAATTCTGATTCATGCTGTCTGAACCCGAAGCATCTGAGGACATCATCACCCTGCTGTGTACCAAAGCACCATGGCACCAGCGATCTCAATGAAAGGGCCGTTAATCTGTTGGAAAGGTTTTGAGACCACGGCTCGGGACAGTGAAAAGGGCATGACACGGCTCAAGAGTCTCTTCAGGCACCGTCTCTGCTCGCAACGCTGTTGGATGGCCTGATCTGGCGTTCCAAGAACGTGAAGGAAGGCCGGCGCTTGTTTTACGTAGGCCTTGGGAAGCTTCAAAACACTTCCGATCAAGGAGAGGTATACGCTTCACGTCCTATGGATTCCTGCGCAGTTCAGTCTGGGCTGTCATGATCCCTCCCCGAGCGCAGCCGGTTTCAAGCGTCAGACCGGCGTGCTCGGATTCAATTCTGGTTTCCGTGTGCCTCCGGTTGTTTTTGCAGGCATGCGCCGCGTGAACTACTACATCAGCTCCATGCTCGTCAGCGATGAGGGCCTGCTTACCAACTCGCTCCTGGACTTGCTGCTTGAAGCAAAGATTGAAAAAAAAGGCCCAAGGCTGTTGGAAACTGTTTAGAGAGAAGACTGAGGATATGGGCCAAATGCCACGCTAGAGAAGTCCGTTCACATGACACAGAGAACCCCTGTCTGCACCTGCCATTTGGGGCTTTCATGGCAAGCCAAAAGCTTTACCTCCGAGGATCAAGCACGGTGACCCAGAAGTCGTGTGCCACCCTTCCGCCATCTTCCAGGCTACTGCAACCCTGACCGTGCACAGTGAGGATGCCTAGTGACCTAGTGGGTTCGAGATACTGGATGGATTTTCCGTCGTCGTGCGTCGTACCGTGTAGGGTGTCGTGTCGTGCGTCGTGCCCGTGCATCGGGCTTGTGCGTCATGAACGTGAGTCGTACTGTGTGTGCTGTGGGCACGTGCCCGTGTGTGTGTGTGTGTGTTTGTTTGTTTGTTTGTTTGTGTTTTGTGTTTTGTGTCTCTTTGTGTGTGTGTGTGTTGTGGTGTGTTTCGTGCTTTGCACTATGGCATGTGTTGTGATGTGTTGTGTGCTGCGTTGCGTGTTGTGGGTGTGTTGTGTGTTGTTGGCACGTGTTGGGGGTCGGTGTGGTGGTTGTGGTGGGTGTGTTGGGTGTGGCGAGTTCTGGTGCGTTGCGGTGTGGGTGCGGGTGGGGAGAGGGGGGCGTGGTGAGAGCTGTGGTATGCTGTGGTGTTTTGCGGCATGTTGTTGGGTGCACGGGCACGGGCGTAGGACAAGAGCTGGCCTCTTCATATATCAGCAGATGGCCTCTGCTAGCGCATCTGATGGCGTGCTAGCAACTGTTGTTCGAGTGTAAGCATGCACAGAGTGTGATCGCGAAATACCTCGAATCCGGATGTTCGCGCCAGGCCGACTTGCTGTGGGTGCGGCTTTGTTGTTTGCCATGGGCTCTCACGAAGCTGTGGTTTTGCGCCTGTCCCTCAGAGGGAATGCAGACAGTCACGTAGTGTCAGATGTCGCCTGTGCATTGGCTACAGACGCTGGATTCCATCTCTTTGAGCTACTGCCAAGAGCCAAGCTGCGTGAAAATCGCTACTCATAGTGTTTCTGATGGAGGTGTGAGTGACTTTATCTTGCCCGCTGCGAAGATGTCACAGAGGAGTCGGTCTTGCAGCCATAGCACAGGTTGCAGTCTTGGCAGGTGACCCTTGTCGTGTTCTGCCTGGCCGAGCAGTATGGCATCGTGACGACTGATGTCCACAGCCACGAGCGCTTCACTGTGATTGCATGCCGGGCGTTCCTGCCTCCGGACTGCAGCTTAGTCGATTGGGCTCACGACTCATACGACGCCATTGCTCTCCACACTTCAACCTACCATAAACAACCTTTGCATCTTATGTTAATGACTCGTACAAAAAGCGTTACAGATGCAACTGCAATTGTAGGGCATCTTCAGGTTTTGCAGACCTGCAGCAGCGTACCAATTGGTGACTGGTGCATCGTTGCACAAATGCGGGCAGCAGCCCACTATCTATCTACGCGCTGTGACGTCAGATATAGCCTCGCGCCCTGCAGTCTGCACAGAGGTACTTGTTTAGTCTCGGCCAACTCTTTGCCAAGCACGCCGTTCAGACCTACAGAGCTGTTCGCCGCAAGTGGACTCGGCTTGTTATGGCTCTGGATGCAGGGGTGCTTCAGTACTTGAAAGCGATGGGTTCGGCGCGACGTCTGAGAGCACGGAAGCAGCAGGCCCTCACTCGACAGAGCAGTTCAGGTGCACTCAGAATGACATGCATGGACGGGCCGTCATGTAATGTGCTGATTGTTCCCACAAGCACTTTATTGAATCGGCCAGGCAGATGAAACGGCTCACGTGGTGCGTGCATGTACCGGCTTACCTACTGCAGCCGCTCAGCTTCCAGCTTTGGACCTTCTCCACATCCTGGAAGCATGGAGAGGCTTTCGGTTGGTATTTGGTAGGTCCGGTGAGAGATGTGGAAATGTCCTGCAAGATCCTGAATTTCAGGGATTTGTACAGTGCGGGGTGGCAGGAAGCAGTGAAGCGGTCAAGGATAGAAATCCCCTTTCCGACTCGTTTATAGGAGAGAGTGAAGCCCTTGTGTGGGACTCCGTTGATGGATCCAAGGACACGCCAGGAGATGATCGAAGCCATTCTGATTCTCCTCCTTCTTTGCAGCCCGGGCATGAGGGCAGTTGCGCGATTTGTGAGTCCAAGGACAGTTTGGTTCGGGTGGCTTGGGATTTGTGTTCTCGTGTGTGTATATATATATATATATTATAAATATACATTTATGTATATATGTATGTATAATAACATACATACATACATACATACATACATACATACACCTACATACACCTACATA